GCTCACATTTACATACATTTACGTACATTTGTTTGATTGTGTGTACGCAGGGGCCGCGATGCTCACAAATGGTGGGGTAATCATTGTAGAAGCATTTGAGTGCCTTTATATGTATGTGCGTATCTTTGTGTATGTTTATATGTGCATGCATGTGACAAGAGCATTGACGTGTGCCTACGACAACTTATGATTGAGTGAACGATTTTGTGGGGTCTGCCACGCCTCCTTCTGCCTGTTACATACATTTCAACAAAACCATTATACCCTGATTTCCCATTGAAAATGGGTCCAGGGTATAAAAAACTAAATATATGTACGTATTTGCGCTTACAAAAGTCATAAAATGAAATATTGCTATTACTTAAAATGTATTGTGTAGTTAAAACACTATTTTATCACCCTTTATTAAAACTTTTAAGTTTTATTAAAATTTGAGGATACGGTAACTTTAGTTGCATTGAGTATTTATACCAATCGGTGGTGTGTCATATCGTGTCAAAACGGATTTGCAACAGTTTGGAAGTGAATGAGTATTCCATAGACAGTACTAGTTACTAGTACTAGTAGCTCTAGAGCTATGTTCAATTTTAAGTATCATGCAGCTTTAGACGCTTCACTATAAAGCTTTTACTCTTTTTATTACAGATCTACCGAGTCAACCAATTTACAAAGGAGGGGGCAGCGAAGCCGATTTTTGTGGTATTGTCTATATGGTTGGGGAATGCCAACAGTTTTGACATCAATTACAGCCTCATTAAGCAAATCTAATTTACTGACAGAGAATATCCGACCCATGTTTGGACACGGGAGATGTTGGTTTACCTGTAGGGTCAAATATTTTCTTTAAAAAACATCTATTAATTTATACATATTATTGATTTCAGATGATACAATTGGATACGCAAGCTTAGTATTTTTTTCTGGACCTCTTGGCGTACTATTTGTCATAAATCTTGTGTTCTTTCTATTAACGCTGAATTATTGTAACAAAGTCAAAAGAGAAATATTCAGAATGCAAAGTTCAAATACTGAGAAGCATACATTGAGAAGTCGCTTTTTTATGGATAAAACAAGATTTATTATGAACACAAAGCTCTGCTTTGTAATGGGAATAACGTGGCTTTTGGAAATCGCTAGCATTTTGTTTTATGATCACAAAAAAAACTTTTTTTGGTCAGTTAGTGATTCTTTCAATGTTTTGCTGGGTGTCTTTGTTTTTATAATCTTCGTTTTTAAAAGACGGGTGTGGAAAGAAATCACGCTAAAACTAGGTAAGACAAATTTGAATATATAATTAATCAAATAATACTATATTTTCCTTAATCTAAACAAGCAAACGTCGGGCGTTACCGACTGCAGAATAGTCTTTCACAGACCCTACATTCCCAGATCCACCAAAACTAATTTTAAATTTCAAGTCTCTAGCACTTATAGTGCATAACATATACATTCAACGTGTAGCCTGAAACCACTAAAAATGGATAAATTATAATATGTACGGGATATAAGTACATATATAAAGCTAGACTCACAAAATTTTGCATATATGCACGTTTATTTCATATAGCGCACGTGGCATGGAACAAGTTTGCAGCGGAGCGGATCGCTTTTCCTATAACGCTTTCATGCCAAATTTTAAAAATTGCGATTGAATTGTGAATTTTTTGCCGTTACTTTTGTAGCATTCCGCTATCCGAATTTAGCTCTTAACTGTAGCATATATAAACTTTTGCGGTTTGTCATCCATGTATATCCAACATAACTTGGGTAGTCGACGCGGAATTTCAGCTTTCTAGCTCATCAACTAATATATCGGAAAATGTATTTTTCGATTTTCCACGCTCCTAGTGGACGACTCGGGAAAATTTTCATACTTTTCAAATCGGAGATATACAGGAATATGCGTTCCAAATTTCAAATCTCTACCTTAATCGTTGAATATTCCCGTTTTTCTTGTTATCGAATAAAAATCTTGCCGAAAATCTCTTATAAAATTAGATCCCCCAAATCGGCTTTCAACTATTAACATACATTCGTGTAAAATTTATAAAACCTCGTCACCAACCCCCTTTCCACAAAATTTGCAGCAAGCATATTTCAAATACTAGAGTCCATGTCACATGGCTGAGCCAGTGTGTGTTTATACGTGCGTGCTAATGCCTGTGTGTGTTAATAACAATAGAAATATCACTTGCTCGAAGGGCTCGGGCGATCTCGTTTCGACTAGAGCTTTCTTACTTGCTTTGTAGAAAATCATGATTCATGACTGTGCACTCATTACAGAATGGACCTTTACATAAAATTTCGATTTAGTTGACTTGAACGACAAGCAGTCCCTTGTTTGCCTATCGATTTCGATTTACATTATGTGTAAACGAAATTTTAAAATATTTTAGACGGCACGGTGAAAATATTAACAGACAATTTTGTAAGAGTATGATTATGTAACATAAAACGTAACCTTTATTGGATGTATACTTCAAAACATTACCTAATTTTTTTTTTTTAGGTTTGTGGTCAACTAACGATCGTCGTGGAAACCGAGGTGCGACATGTGTAACACAATCAACATGTGTAAATCAAAGTATAGCTATGAAAAAACTTGGTGATGTTAATGGTGAAAAACCACTTATAGGACGAACGACTTAGAGACAAAATACCTTAAACCTTATTCAGTAAAATCATACTAATTTACATATTATTTTCAATATATTATATATTAAATTAAATGAAATGAGTGTATTTTGTACATGTGTATATTTTCGATTCAATAATAAATTGAAACAGGATATCTGAGCTTCGGAAAACGGCTTTTCTATTTTTCTATGCAATTTTCGTGATATAATTTACGTTATAAAAAATTACAC